ATTTAACCCATACTTAAAGGGTGGCTCTTTGTCTCTCCCTAATGATTTTTTAGAGGATTGTGGGTTGATACTGCTTTTACCTCTAGTTAAAGGGTAACTTTGCCTTTTTGGAACTGTCTTGACAGGAGAGAGGGCTCTTATTTCACACTTGGTGTTTAAGGGCATGCCAAAACCCAGAATAAGCCTGTGTAGTTGGGGTAGAGTGGCCTTAGTTTGTGGAGAAGTTTGTGGTGTATACTCAGGGGTGCTTTGTGCCAAATGCACTGTCTAATTTCCAGGCTTTGGCATGTGTGCTGAGGGTGTGCCGTATGGCTTCAGGGACACTGTTTGACCAGCAGTTCTGCTTTCTAGTGTTCAGGTAGCAGACCTCCAGGATCACTTGTTGACTGTCAGGCAGGGAAGGAATTAAATATATAACACGAAGTCTTGTGTGGTCCATGTTTATGAAAATGTATGCAGAACAAATGGAGGCGCATATATGTAAACTGAATGCAACTTGGGGGAGGAGGAAGGAGGGTGACCTGAGGTATAATCATCTTAAAGATTGCATATTTGAAGGATCCTAGAATCATATTAGTCTGCCAAGCTAGCCCTAGATTAGCTTTCTCTCCTTCTTCCATAACCCACAAAAAGCAGAAATTTCAGTCTTCCCCACTATCTAGAGATTACGTGCAGTAAGACAGGTTTGGTGAGAACTGGAGGAAAGATCTGAATATAGGTTGTGAAATGCATATATGGTATTTCTTCTTTTGGTGAGTCTGAAACAATGAAACAGGCATGAGTGTATGGACTTGCTCCAGTGATGGCTGTGGAGGGTGATGATAAGTCTTAGCTTGTTTGGGATGCATTAGATCACTGGTTCTTAAACTTCTTAGACTTGAGGCACCCCATTAAAAAACCAGCTCCTAACTTGCACTTGATTTTTTGACTACAGAAAAATAATACAGCAATTCTTCTTTTCCAAAGAACTCAGGAAGACCCCATCAGGGCTAAATGTTATCTGCATCATATATTCCTATTTTAAATCTCTGGGTTCATCTTGTTAATCATGTTGCACTTCTGACAGTGCTAACATTGCTTGGCCACCCACCCCTGTGACACCTGGGAAAAGAGATCAGGGTGCCACAGTACCCTGGTGGAGAATCACCATATTAGACACTTCATGTTTCCATAAGGTGGTTATACATGTTTTTATTCTTTATTTCTGCCACAGCTAGGTTGCAACATAATATTTAATTCAGCCACAGTATGCCACAAAAATATATAAGCAATAGGAGTAGCAATAGGTGGGCATAAGTTTCCAGTTGACAACTTACTGAAATAGACACAGTTGTCTGCTTAGGTACAGGATTAAAAAGACCGATCACATGGGAAAGGTTCTTCCATAGGTGTATTTGTATTTAGTTAATATAATTATCGTAGCTTATAGATTATTCTGTTTTAGAGACACTATTCACAAAATATTTGTGGTCCTTTAGCAGAGAACTAATCAGTCAGTTGCTTGCATTTCTGTAACCTGTCCTAGAGGTCTTAATTTGTTTCAAATGCATCAACATATGACTGACTTACATTTTAAAGTTACACAGATTTGCCTTTCTACAAAAAAAAATACACGGAGAATATTAGACTAAGTAAATAGCCTGATTTTTCTTTTCTTGTTCCTAGGATGTTAAATTTCCTCTTATGTTGGATGTGTATGAACTTTGTACACCAGAACTTCAAGAAAAAATGGTCCCATATCGGTCAAAATTCAAGGACCTAGAAGACAAAAAAGTAAATCAACAGCCAAAGAATGTAGGTTACCTGGCAGTTTCATAGTTTTTTAGCTTTATGTATTATTCCAGATATTTTGATACTTTGGTTTCATACACATTCGTGAAAGTATATCAGGCTATTAATAAGAGCTGATATAAGTAAACTGCTCATTTACAACCCTGCATATTGACCCATTAAATATTTTCATTTCATCCTTCTTAATAAAGAAATTTTGACTGGATGGATTTTGACTTGATGAAATTTTGCATAAACAGTGTGCTGAAAGATCTTCACCTTACCTTAGTTTCTAGGTTCTAGCCTGAATTGTTTATTGTTCAGATGAATATACTTAAGTGATAGCATGAGTAAATGATTGTCAGTTTGCTAAGCTGATATCCTTCAGGTAGTGGTTCTCAACCTTTTATAGACCCAAGGGACCCCTCAGAAAATGCTAGCTCATAGCTTTCACTTAGTTTTTGACTACAACAGAGCAATTCTTCTATTGCAAACTACTCAGAAAAATCACAGCAGGTCAGTATTTTTTTTAAACATCTGGGTTTATCTTTTGAATTGTGTGTAGATGTTTGCATACATAACAGTGCTAATGTTGTACAGCACCCATTGCACCCTTAGAAGAAGCTTGTAGCACACTTGTTGAGAATCACTGGCTTAAGCATATTGAAATAGCCTTCTTTGGCTTTAAAAATCAAGTGTCATGAACAGCAGGTCAGCATTGTCATACCAGTGCACTTTAATGTCCTTCATGTCAACTCAGATTTGAGAAGTCATCCATATAAATGAGGCTATTTCTGGGAGAGTTGATCATTAAGCCTGAAATGTTTTGTTTTGAAATACCTCATTTGACAGATTTTTCACTGATTCCAAATTAGCACTTCAAGGGAACCTGGCTGAATACTTTGCAATGCTGCCCCAGGCTCAAGGCACTGCAAGTTGTGTGGCAGGGACTGTGAAAATCACCAGAATCTGTTCACTCGGATTGACATTTGCAGTGCCACAATCTCACTGAAAAGGCAGACTGCATAGACTGCAAAAGCTGTAGAAAGACTGTTCTGGCAAATAATGACTCTTTTTAAAATGTTTTGTGGTTTTTTTACTAACTAATGAAAATGGAACATGAAAAATGTCACTTGTACCCATATGTGCATTTGTTGTTAATACCTTAAGCTGTCAGCATGATTGCCTTAAAATAAGAAATGTTGTCTTCTATTTGGCCACCTAGATTTTACCTGAGAACAATTTATTTTGTTCTAGTTTTCCAAGAAATTCTAACAGACATAAGTTAGAAACTTTACTTGAGAGAGATGCTATTTGCGTAGTTGTCTACCACAATTGGCACCTGGCAGACTGGTGAGGGGACAGGCAGCACAGCAACAGATTGGGCAGGAGAAGGGGGTCAGAGTGGCACTTCCAGGTTAGCTTGTGACATGCCTGCTAAAAAAGTTCCCACTGATTTAAAATATGGTGCAGGAAGTGGGAGTGGAGACCAGTGAGAATGTTCTCATTATACATGAAAATATTTTTTGTCAAATATTGGTAATTTTACTATCAGGTGACTGAGCTCACTAGCTTTACAGGGCTGTTAGGTGTATGGTATTGAATTGAAGTGACATGTATTGATCCAAAAGTCCACATTTTTAAAAGGTTATAGCTATAGATCTATGTGTGTTTGCTTGTGTTATAAGACAGGTTATTTCCATAAGCAACTTTATCTGCTATGCCCATCTATATTCTTAAATAGTCCCACAAAGTTATGCTGTTATGTCTAGATATTACTGAAGTTGCTTGTTTATCCTTAGGTTCCTTATCAGATTTCATTTAGGTATTTAACAAAAGATTGTACTTCTTTTTGATTGTTGACAGTGGAAAGGAGTGGGGTGGGGGGATGGACAAAAAACAAGTTGATACTATCAATAATTTATTGGCGTTTAGAATACCTTCCACCTCTTCCCCACCTAGTCTCTCTCTGCTTTCCTGAGACTAAAACTTCCTGTTCTAGAAGTGTTTTGGTATTCCAACCCACCAGTTCATTTTTGGCTGCTCGTCTGTCCATTGAGCAAGTGGTCTAGTTCAGTCCAGAGCAGACATTTCTGTCTCTGTTTGTATTTACTCTTTCCAAAGGGACTAGCGATTTAGTTTTGCATCAGTTTTGGTTGTCCAGTTAGAGACATCTTAATAGGACTACTTTGTATTTGGACACCCAAGAAAAGATAAAGGCATATGAAATCTGTTGAAAAAGATGACACTGTTTTTGCTATATTAAAGTGTCTTTAAAAAATAATCTGTAAAATACCACATTTTCTGTTTTCCAGTCTAGCAAAGGTGATGGGGTACAGAAAGAAGTTAAATATGAACCATTTTCCTTTCCTGATGGTAAGTGAATAAATACTGAGAGGTCTATTGATTTAAAACCTGCATTTAAATTTTAAAATCTAAAAAAATTGCCTGTGTTTAATTAAGTTTATAACAAGACTTTCCCAATTGGAAAACTTATTTTTTCATGATTTTGAAATGAATCTTCAGAAACTCTGCTAAAATATTAGGAAGTAGAAAGCTCAGTGGCTTCCACATAGGTATTAGCTCATTACTTAAAGTTGTTTAACAACAGCAGCCTCATAATCTTCCACAGGCAAAGTATATGGTGCCCCTTTATGCACCAGACACTTGAAAGATAGAGGTTTTTTTAACCTCTCCTTCTGGTCAGAGAAGAGTGAAATTCCAAGAAAGCTTCATTACTGTGTTCATCTCCATTGCTCCTCTCTTACTGTGTTTATTTTGGAGGTAGTGTTTGGCACTGCACAGATAATGGAGTAGCCCAGACAGGGGGTTAGAGAGCAGGGCTGTCCAACTTCTGAGTGGCTGGGGGACCAGGCTACACCATGCAGTGGGCACACCCTATACTATACCCTGCTGAGGGAAACCCCAGCAATGGCAGCATCTGGAGTGTTGGGGCCTGGGAGCAACATCTGGATTGGGAGCTTCAGTTTAACGCCTTGGAGGCTGCCTCCAGACTGCTAGTTACAGCCTTGGATTCAATAACTGGTTCGCCATCAAAAGAGAGAATTGCTGACCTCTCCCAAAGGACACCAGCTGGACAGATGCATGGTGATCACAGTGCAGGGCCTCAGAAGAGAAGTGTGGTATGCATTTGTGAGTCTTCCCTCATGTTCCATTTCGGGTGGTGCTGTGCATCACAGGCAGGTTCTGCAGTTGTGTAGAACATCCTTTCCCTTTCTCTGATATATTTGTCAAGCTGTAGAGCAAAAGGCAAAACCTTGACATTGGAACTACAGTTTATACCCATTAACATCTTATGAAAAGCAAGTCTCTCTTGGCAGGGGATTGTGCTGTGGTGCAGGCAACCCCCACTTAGCACTCTTAATTGGGTCCTGAAAAACCGAGTGTTAAGCGAAACCAAAAGTATTTGACAACCCAAGGTGGTGACCGCAGTTGTTTTTAATGACCCAAGATGGTGACTTCGAGCATTATAATGAAACTCACTGAGCAATAATTGAAATTGGGTATCAATTTAAAATGAGCTTTATAGTAAAACAGTGCTAAACGGGGGTTGCCTGTACCAGTACTGAAATTATTCAAAGCTATCTTTGCACATGAATTAGAGCTCTTGTCTTCTACACAATTTTGTTTATAACCCTGGGGCATTAAGAATGTCTGTTCTTACTGTAAATTTGAATTAAAACTTGGGCCCAGTGGCTGGATGTGAAGCCGACAGCAGCACAGAATCACTGTGGCTGTTCCTCCTGGCTCCATGGGGCCCTCAAAGCATGGGGCCCAGGGTGGTTGCCCCAGTTTGCGCCCTGCCAGTGATGTCCCTGCATATGAACTGCAGTTCTGTCATAAGTGGGATAAATGTTGAAAAGCTTGAGTGGTGATTGAGTTAAAGATGCAAAATCAGCTATTCTTGAACTTTATGCAAAATGTTGTGTTGCATTTGTGAAACTGTTGTAACCTGGAGAACTGCAATTTGGAGTGTTAGTTAGTGTATTCACTAGACAGCTTATACCAGATCAGCAAAATCTACTTCTTGACAGAAAGGAATAAAACCAACTTGTTTATTCAAACCAAAATATATGATCCACGAGAGCTTTACATCTAGTAGGCAGTCATGGCAACTATAAAACTATATGCTGGTTGTTTTCCCATGGTGTTTGTGGTCACTATTGTTTGTTAATTAGGGTGATGATTTTTTATCTCCCCAGATACTGGTTCCAACAACTGTGGTTATTACGACCTGCAAGCAGTACTAACACATCAGGGAAGATCTAGTTCCTCTGGTCACTATGTATCATGGGTTAAAAGGAAACAAGGTACTGAGAGCTTTGGAAAAGAACTTGCCTAACTGTACTTGTTAACTCCTTCTGTATGTTTGTAGACTGAGCCTTGGCCTTGCAATGACATCCTTTTCTTTTTAAAGGATACTAAGGATTCAAAACCCACTCGGTTTTTAGTTGTCAAGAATTACAAGTCTCTCTCTTGTTTTTCTGTAGATGAATGGATCAAGTTTGATGATGACAAAGTCAGCATTGTCACACCTGAAGACATTCTGAGGTTATCTGGGGGTGGAGACTGGCATATAGCTTATGTTCTACTCTACGGGCCTCGCAGAATTGAAGTAATTGAAGATGAAGCTGAACAGTAGTCTTCATTTTTTGTCATTTCTGCCTAGGTGTGAAATAAATGATTACTGATGATTTCTTTAACCCCAGTGCTTTAACAATGGAGATGTACTTTTGTTCAAACCATTCTTACGTGAAGAGGGAAATTATTTTAAACCAATTTGTGTACCAAAAAACAATTAGTCATTGCTGGACTGTGCTGCCACTGTGTTGGCAATAACACTTAAACAATTTTGATGTCTTGCAGAAGGATATTTTCTTTAAAAAACAAAAAACAAATCTAAAATGGTGGCTCTAAATGTACCTCCTCCTGTCCCTTCTTCATCCCCTCTAATTTCATCAACCAGATATTTATTACACACCTATTCTTACATCATTTGTTGCTCTTGCATGGTTTATACCACAGTTCAATAGCTGTCCATCCTTTACCTTGCCTGACTTTTGCCAGGAAGGTAGAAGAGATATTGTTGCCTCGTTATGTAACTCAGTGCTGCTGCCCACAGCCAACAACCATGGCTACAATCAAGTATTTGTCCAGCCTGACCTGCTGACTCAGTCTGTTCTGTTGCTGGCATTTCATGACTTTAAAATAAATTGTGATCAATAACAAAGATGCCTTTTATGTATTTAACGTTTACATTCCCATACATAGTCTCTGTTTTTGTAGAGCAGGCACTGATGCCTCTTACTTATGATAATAGCTCTAATGTTCCCTGACAAGAGTAGCGTTCCTTCTGTACCCAACAATACAATTTGCTTAAAATAATCCTTACAATTATGGACATCAACATGGAAACAAGTATATTTTTCAGATCTATGATGCCTCTTGTCTGATGGGAGGTTGCCACTTACTTGAGGTCATCCAAGGACACCGTTCCTATTGCAACTTGTTTAATAGATCCTGTAACCAGTAGGAATACTAACTACTATGCTTTGCTCTTGGATCCAGATGGCATTAAGCTTCTGAATTAAGGTGTCATTATATCTGAAGAGCTGTTTTATCGGAAGGTTTTCTTGTACTGACTGGGTAGGCAGGCTTTTTAAGGAAGCTGCATCAGTACAGAAGTATCTTGTTCCCATTCATAATTTGGGTTGGGGAGAGCAGGGGTCTAGTACTTCATGCTTAGAAACAGCAGTGAGTCCGCATGTAGACCTGTTGTAAAGTATGTTAGCTTAACTACTAGAATTTTTCTGTACCAAGGATCTTAAGTTCTGCTGGGTTCCTTACAACACATGACCAAAGAAATCTGGTAATTCATGATTTATTTTTTTTAAAGCTTTAGGGTAGTTTAGAAGCACACTTACCCTTTTATGTTGCTATACAATAGTAGGAAAATGCAAAGTGTAAGTCTAATACAATGCTTTGTAAACATTTTTAAGTCACAGATGTGCCCAAAAGCAATAAGCCAAGAGTCTAACTACATAAATCTTAGTAGAGGAAATGTGCTTATGGCTTAAGACCCTTCAGAGGGAGGTAGTCCATGTTGGTCTGAAGTCAAGCAGGAGGTAGGGTAGATTTGCATCTTAAAGCTATTGCACTTTTGATTTAGTTTGTCAGATATTTCTCAACATCAGATGAAGCAAGCTGCTGCTTATGAAAGCATGTGCATCTTATAAGGTGCAAATCTACCCAGTTTTAAGTGCTTCAACACTGGGCAGAAACCATCCTGGACTCAAAGCCACATGCCTAAGTGTAATCCATGGACTCAGGCACTCCAGACAGGAAGTACAACCTTTATTCTGACTCTGCATCTGTAATTCTTGTAAAGACTACTTATACAGGACCCCTTCTCCTTTAGTGCACAATCTGAGTCATGCTGCAGTTGCACAGGTATCTTCCCTCTACCCAGCCTTACATCACACTTCAAGTCCTCCACTGATGTGGAACTAGGGCCTCATGGGACTGACCTAAAAGCCTAAGTATATCTCAGCAACAAAAGATGGCTGTCTTTCAATCGCACTACCCAGCAGGGTTTGAATCTCTCTCACTTGCCCAGCTTCAACTGAAAATGCTGAGCACTTCTGTAAGTTGGGCATTCAGAAAGAATGAAATTAGTAACCACCTATGATTTTAAAATGACTTACCTGGTATTCCCAAGTCTGATACAGCTTCACATGAATTCAGGTTCTCTAACATTTGGCTAATAACCATCTATGCTCTTCCTTCAGACTGCTAAGCTACTTCTACCTTTCCAACTTTGAGTAAATGAAGCATGATCCTACAGCCAACACATTCAGCCATGATATAAGTGAACTCCTTAGGCACTTTGCCCAAGGAAAAATAGTCCTTAATTCAATCACAGTCCTTTACAGGTAAGACAGAAATGATAATGCGTAGACAAAATTAATTCTAGTATTTCCTTAATCTGAAGACTTGATTTAGCAACGTTACTGTGCTTAAAATGTAATTTTCTAGAATGGCTCTATAAAGCAAGGTAAGTTTTGTGGTGCAGATCCGTTTCAAGCCTCTAATAAGCCAGCAATGAGTCTTGGTATTCATAGGCTCCAGGTCCACAATACAGACCTCTCCCACTTGGTTTGAGTAATTAGACTGTTCTACAGTGATGAGCAGACATTTCAAAGTGTATGTGCATGGCATCAGCAATTTATACAAGGAATGTTTGGAACAAATACTGAGTTCTGTTTTTGATGCTGGAGGCCAGGCATTAGAGTGGTTAGTCACAGTGGTCAAGCACACATTTCTGCCATTTATTCCAAAATGCAGTACAGCCACATTTAGCAGATAAAGTCTTGCTCTGAAGAAGCACCGGTGTGCACAGAAGTCAGTCCACAGAACGGTAACATTCCTGGTTCCAAATCTACAATCCTGTACTCTGCCAAGGCTTGCTCCTCACCTTCACAAATCGTGAGTGAGACCCCAAAATTACTGGGCTACAAGTGATTTCTAAATAGAGCCGACACTGCTTCCTTCCTACAGTCCAACTGGGGTCACAGAGCTGCCCTAAAACCAGATGAGAACAGGACTGGCCCCTGCTAAGATTTTGAAGATTTCATGCTAGTCAGAGAAACTAAAACTTCCTGTAGGAGGCATCCTCAACTGACAGTGTCAGTTACTATGCTGGATACTATGCCTAGAAGTTTCTTAGAATAGATGATACCATGAGAACAGCTGGAGCGTTTGGCAGTTTCCTTGAAGGGTGTAAGGACTAAAAGGTGAGGGAGGGGCTTGCTATGCAAGGAAGTGCTCAGCAGCAGGAGGAATAAAACAAAACCATTTTTAGGCAGTGGAATCTTTCTTCTACCTCAGGTGCTCTGTCTTCTGTCCATTCCCTCCAGGGCTGCTGGGGATGGAGGAGAGGCCTCTTCTTCCTGTATCATACAGTTGCCCAGTGATTCCAGTCTCCTTACTGTTACAAAGCAGAGCACCTCCTTTTCTGCTTGCGGAGGCAGGGAAGTATGTACAAGCTATGTGTCCACAGAATTTTGCAAGACTTCTGGGTGGCTTTGCTCCAGTCTGCTGTTGAGAAATATTTCCTGCAACAACTGATTTCTACAGCAAAACAGATTCTGTACTCATGGAAAAATTAAGTGTTTCTAGGCAGCAGTCCTCAGGCCTTTAAACTGATTATAAACATCAACACTTTCCCCCTCAAGAGGCTGTTCATAAAAATATTCTACCATGAGGACTATTTGGAAGATTAGAAAAGAAACTCCAACAAAGGAGGACAGTCTTCTCATCACTATGACATTTGTACTCTGTTTGTCTTCCTTACCCCTTACGCTTCCTATTTTACTTCTGTTAGGAGGGATGACTCAGGTGAGGGGTTTTTTTATAGTAATACAACAGTTTTAAGATGATGCTTTGAAAACTTGTCAGAACACTTCAGGAGAAGGTACTATGTCAGAGCATATGCTTATTATCAGGTTATCAAGTAGAGTTTACTCAGCACATCGTAACCTGATCCAAATGAACAACTGTGCAAGGATTACTTCAATCTGGAAGGGTCTTTGCTGCGATACATACAATGGGCCAGAGACACATTTCACCATTAACATGGAAGCTGGAAACAAAAAAGCATTTCCGGGAACCTCTCATACTCAACTAATTCTATCTACCTTCAATATTGTTTGCCTAGTCCTGAGTTATGGACAAGGAAACAGTGACCAAGGGAACTAACATCATGTTCTAGTCACTGAAAACTTCCATTTACAGATCCAGAACAAGGATAATCTGGCAAAAAAAAAAAAGAGAAAAGGGTATTTGTATTTCCTGCACTGTATTAAGCCTAGAATGAAGAAATCCAGACCTATGCAACAAGGACCGCAACTCCCCTCAGATGGAAGGATACTACCTCAAGTCCCATAACATCCTACTTCTAAAGTGCAGTCTCCTATCTGAAGAGCTCTGGCACAGACTTCCAGCTTCATCCTTAAAGTAAACCACACCCTGCTTCCTTAATTTTTTATCCAAGTCCAAATATTTCACATAACTGACAAAGACGCTGGAATTGCCACACTGGATCAGACCCAGTCCAAAAATCCCACCGGACAGCAGTCTGCAGCAGATGCTACAACCCCCCCCCCCCCCCAAAACAATCCCCCCCCCCGCAA